ATAGTCCAATACTGTAAACATTAAAGATACCTAGATAGCAATAACACTGCAAATAGAAACCAGCGTAATCTTATTTAAAAAAGAAAGCATGTCACCGTGCAACACCTTCCGCCTTTCTGACAAAAGCCCGCCCGGGCGCTGCGCCACGCTCACCTTCGTCGTCCTCCTCGTCTACGCCGTCTCCGTCCACCTCGCCATCCGAGTCGGACGCCTCCCGGTCTTCGAGGTCGTAGCCGTCCAGGTAGGTCAGCTGCGGCAGCAGTTTGAAGACGCTCTCCCGGTAGTCGTTCAGGTTTGTCACTTCACAGTTGAACAGGTCCAGGCTCTTCAGGTTGTCCAGCTTTTTCTAGTGGGAAGAGCACAGGACGACATGGGTTTTGCAAACTTCCTAATCAGCTAGAGCTTCCCCAGCAAACAAACTTACTTCCCTGGATGGAAGGAACACTGTGGGTCAAAAAGTCAATGAGAGAAAGTCTAATTATTCGGGTGGTTAATACAAAACACACAGCACTTGTGAATGTCTCACTGAAGAGACAAGTGGTGGCCTATTATTGCTTTCTTGCCCTTTTTTAAAGGATGATTTTAAACATTCTTTAAAAGAATAGACAAGTTTACCAAAAATCCACCCCGACTTTCAAATATCTCCCGATGGTTTTAAGAAAATGGGCCGCTTTTGGGGTTCTTCGCTGGAGCTAAAAGCTTTGAAAATCACCCTGTAATGGCATAGTAATAAACAGGAATCGAGTGAACGGACCTCTCTCAGCACATCCACTTACCAAAGGCTCCAACGTGCTTATGTCTTTCAGTTTGTTCCCGCTTAGGTTTAGGTGTGTGAGGTTTGGGAGTTTCTCTGCTAAAACATCAAGGCCACCAGAAATTCTGTTGTCACTGAGCTCCAGCTGAAAAAGAAGAAAGGACGGCTAAATTAACCTAACTCTCAAAAAGCCAGTTGTGGCCCGTATGTCATCATGCTGGCGATTCCACGGTGACTGATATTACTTTTTAAACAGTTTTAGGTGTTAGAAGTCTCAGACGGCAACAAGATACTTTAACACTCTGCCTTTTGCTGGTGTATTATTGACGTTGCAAGAATAAAGATTAAAATTGACCTTCTTTTTTATTTCGAGTTTGTCTTTAAACCTGTGCTGGAACACAACATTTCTACTCTAGGATTAGAGACTGTAACAGCCGGCTTGTGCATGAGGAGACTGGATGCCATTTCATCGTGTCAGTCCTTTTTATTTCAAAGTAAGTAGTGACTGACACTGCAGTGACAGTCAACTAATTTAGTGGATTTAGTGTTTCAGCCTATTAAGAGTACAATCTTGTGATTTTTGTTTTTGTAAATATTATCCTCAAGACATAAAAACTGATATCAAATTCTAGGCTACTGCACATTATGCTGTGAGACTGCTACAACGCAGCAAGACTGAATTAAAAAAATGTACAGATCAAATTTAATTTGAGTTGAGGGAATAACAAAACATGTCAACAGCTTTAGCAGCTTTAGCTCGTTATAATAGGAAATTAATTCTGCTCATAATAGCACATACTAGAGAGCATAGATAAAATCATTCTCACTTCAGTTAATTTAAGAATAAGTACTGCACAAAATATTGTTTCTTATTCAATAGGCTATAAGATGACTCACAGGGACTACAAATTTGTTAAATAAAAAAATCAATATATCTACCTTAGGAAGTCTACGACTATACAATCAACTCTGAAGTACAGAGTAGAGAGATATTTTAGCAGAGCAAAAAAATAATTACACAGCGATGTCTTTGTTTGTTGTATACACAGATATTTCTATCTAAAAAGATAAACTAATCCTCAAAGATGGTGTATTTTTCTTAATGTGATCAGAGGTGAACCAGGTCAGGTGGATGCATTCTGTTATTGGCTTTAAGCTGTATACTTTGTATGTCTGTAACCGTATGTGCTCACAGAACCAAATTCTATGCAACTAGTCGTTATGGCTATAAAGCACTGAATTTGGACTAAAGTAACAGGTGAAAAACCAAAACCAACTTGGTTTCTGAAACTAGCCTAAAAACATTTTATTGGCATTTTGGTATACTCTTCAACCTAACATTTTTAATAGTCCAATACTGTAAACATTAAAGATACCTAGATAGCAATAACACTGCAAATAGAAACCAGCGTAATCTTATTTAAAAAAGAAAGCATGTCACAAAGACATCTTATGAAAACAAAACATAAAACATTGGAATGCATTAGAGAAAACATAAAAAGACTAATGATACTTCTGATAAACGCACAAGTCAATTTTTCCATACCTATTTCAAAATAACCAGCCCTTAATGATACTAGTGCCTTCAACTTTCAGTCACCTGATTTCTGTGAAACGGTATTAAAAAAAACCAACTACTCATTTCACTGTCTTTCCACTTTCCAAAAGTCAGCTGCCTACTACTTTAAAACAATGTAAAGTTTACCTTCTTAATACTTTACACAGCTGGCCCAATATATGTGAATTTACAAAATTGGTTTGTGCTGTGTTTTGAGCCCCTTTGCTAGTTTAGTGAATCATTATCAAGTCTAATGCAGTTTAAAGTCATTGATAGACCATGATTAAGCGTCTATATTTTGGGTTTGTAATATTGTATTAATTAGAAGTGAGCATTTACTGTCACGTTAAAGATACTACTCCTTTATTAAGTATGTTACATATAGTATTTGACTTCATACTATCAATCCAAGTCAGGGTTATGGAGGAGATGGAGCCTAATCCAACAAAGCAACAAACGCAAGGCTAAACACACCCTGAATACAAGGCCAAGCCTTTAAAGGGGACACACACAGACACACATAGATACCCACTCACTCACACCAGGGCCAATTTTCCCAGAAACCAATTTACCTACCAGCATGTCTTTGAATTGTGGGAGGAAACCAGAGCACACAGAGGAAACCGATGCAAACAAGAGGAAAACATACAAGCTCCACACAGATAGTACCTCAGGTCTGGAACTGAACATAGGCCTTCAACCCTGGAAGGCAGCAATGCTAACCACGGAGCCACTAGGCCGACCCATTTCAAACTAATTTATCAATATCGAAATAGCCTTACCACAGATTATTACTAAACGTATTACAGCCAAACAATCCCCAACTTCAGATGGGATCATCAAATAAATGTGCAGGGACTTTTTAGACTTACACAGTATATGATTGTGTGCGTTGTAAGGAATGCCTGTCATCAAACATTTTGAAGGAATAATAACCATACTGGAAAAAAAGTGTTTCAAGGGAGAAATTGCTCATCCTTCTAAACCAGCATTCCGGAAATTCCTACTCCCATTGCAACGCTTGAAAGGGAACAACACTTTACCTTTTTTAATTTGCCGAGCTTGGGGAGGTTGGACACGGAGATTAAGCCAACGTTTATTAGGCTGAGGAATTCGAGGTTCACAAATTCTGCGGTGAGGCCCTCAATCTTGCCTTCATTGGACCTGCAGTTGTCTAGGACCAGTTCTCGTACCTGTCGGATATAAGAAAGTAAACCAGTGAAAAGAAAGAACCACCACAGAGGAACTGAAAAGACGCACTGATCTTAATCGAACAGGAGCGCGGTCTCTACTTTTCTTGTAGCTTAGCAGACAAGAACACAGAATCGTATCTGTAGTTTCCCTTGTGTTCTTCTAGGTTTAATTCCAGCTAAACTGGGTTAAACCACTGCATCAGGCACAACACTGAAATTCAGATTAACATGAAAAGTCAATGGGTTTTTCCCAACCAGGACTGCAGCTGCACCATTCTGTTCATTTGATTGACTTGAGCCCCTAGACTATAAATAAAATATAAAATGCATCTTTTGGCATGGAAATGACACTTGGACCATTATTCTAATTTCCACTGACAGTTTCTAAACAACAAATGATAACTATAATCCATCTCCATATCCTACACCACCTACTCAAATTGCTTCATTTATGCAATATAGGATGTAAAAAAAATGAATAACCAATTTAATATATTCTATACTATAAACAACTGAAAATTATTCAATATTAATCTCATAAAAGAGTGAATGAATTCCCAATTAAAAAGTAAATAACCTATTATACATACTCAATGAAAAATGCAATGAGTCATGAATTAAATTGTAATACAGTTACAATTTGATACAGCCTAAATAAATGTTTGAACACCCTACCACTTTAGTTAATGAACAAGTAATAGGTTTATTCCATGCTGAAAGGAGAAGAAAGAAAACACAACATTTCGGCCGTGGAGCCTGCACACCTGAAGAAGGCTCCATAGCTGAAACGTTGTGTTTTATTTCTTCTCTTTTCAACATGGAATAAACCTATTACTCGTTCCTTTGCAGCCTACGCATGCTGACGCAGCTACCCAACTGAACCACTAATAGACCTATTACTTGATCATGAATAGCTTAGGACGGTTCAGACAGGCTGAAATGGACAATTGTGTTTGCTGTCTCCCACACTAATATTGTTAGAAAATAGACTAAAACGTAATTGATCAAATGAGGTGAATCTTTTGTCTACATGCCATTGAAGAACATGAAAATGTTATTTAAGAGGAGAGACAAAAAATGAATACTCCAACCAATAGCATGTGTTGCATATTAAATGCCTCTCAGTACACTTACAGGCATTAATATCTAAACATTCAGAAATTAGTTCCACCAAAGCCATTGTGAGAATAGTTTTCTGTTAGAACCCTGACAGATTTATCAGATTCTGAGAGTTCTGAGTAATAAAGTACTTTAAAAATGGAAGTAGAGTAAACGTGGACTAACTTGCTCAGTTCAGCCAATGAATTTGTTCAGCTGCACTTTTTTAAGAAATAAAAATGGGGCATTTCATGGTTTGACTTAGTTTTGCACCTTTAAGGCACCTATGCCTTAATACTAAGAGTGCCGGAACAAGTAACACCCGAAGATGGCTCCATAGCGGAAACGCTGTGTTTTCTTTTTTCTCTTTTCAGCATGGAATAAACCTATTACTTGTTCCTTTGCAGCCTACGCATGCTGACGCAGCTACCCACCTGAACCACTTTAGTTAATATCATGTCTGCCGTTTGTTTCAGGAACGCCTAATTCTCAATTCCAAAAAAGATTACCTGTTTACCAAGCAAGCTGTTTGAGCAATTATTTTGGATCTTTGCACTGTACAGCTCCGACTCTCACATTCTCCTGTGAGGCGGTTATTGTCCTCAGAGGTTTGTTTCAAAACTTCCTTTAAAGGAATATACAATGTAAAGCCTTACAAAAATATTCACACTCTTGCACAGCTTTCACATTTTGTTGCTTTTAAGCTTGCAGTTGTGACATTTTGAAGTAGCAATAGATGTTATATATATAACATACTTTACATGTTTGAAACAAAAAACAAAAACAAAAAATACCTATCGCCCATCAATCCATTTTCTAACCACTTTCTCCAATACAGGGTCACAGGGAAGCCAGAGCCCATCCCAATAAGTAACGGGTGCCACACACTCACACTAGGGCAATTTTCTCAGATGCCAATTAACCTAAACCAGTAAAGCTTTGGATTGTTGGAAGTAGAGCTGGGCGATAATTCGATAACGATAATTATCGCAATATAATTTTCCTCGATATAATTTTAACAAAAGTTTGATAAATGTTCGATATATATGTTTATGCATTGTGCATAAAATGCGCATGCGCACAAAATACTGCGCGAGTGCGCGTGCGTGTTGCAGACCAGGCAGCTAACAGATTTGTTTAATGTTTCTGCTGTTTGGCAAGTGATTGTTGTGTTCTTAAAATAAAAAGTTGTTTAATTTACCAATTAACTGTCTGGTTTCTTCAACTTTCACTCAGGAGAAAAAAATCTGCCTTTAAACTTGAAAGAAATAATGGTTTGACATTTATCATGATAATTATCGATATCGACTGATATGAACATTTTTATCGTGATAATATTTTTGGCCATATCGCCCAGCCCTAATTGGAAGGAAACCGGAGCACCCAGGAGAAACTTACACGAACTAGGGGAGAACATACGAATTCCACACAGACAGCCCCCCAGGTTGAGAACTAAACCCAGGGCCCCCAGGACTGAGAGCCAGCAACGGTAGCAACTGAACAGAAATTATTACAGAGTTCTGGCTAACAGAAAATGTCCATTAGTCAACAACATCCCAGTCATTCCAGAAAACTGGTCTGTATTGCAGAATGGCCATCTGATCATGGAGGTTGCCACAAAGATTTTTAGTGATACTCCAAGCATGTGGCGAAAGATGATGTGGCCTTTATGGACTAAATGCCAAGAGTTACATCTGGCACAGACTGATTGAGTTAAGGAAGAATGGATAGAGCAAAGTACAGGCAAACACTAGAGGAAAACCTGTTTCATTCTGCTATAGAATTAAAACCGAGGCAAAGATTCACCTTTCTGCAGGACAATTAACCAAAACACAAGGCCCAAGCTACACTGGAGCAGCTTAAAAATAATAAAGTTAATGTCTTCGAGTAGACTAGTCATTTTTTCTTTCTTCTCTGTGACACTTACTGTAACTCACCGAACCCTTAAAAGTCTTCAGTCTGAACATTCAGTTTTTGAATATAATATTAAGTTTAAAGAAATGCGTATACATCATTTTGTAATTTCAAACAATTGGACACCATAATGAGGTTCTGAATGTTTTCATACTATAAAAACTCAGCAAATTTCCTTGACTAAGATTTCTAGACCTTGTTTATAAAAACCACATGATGTTGTAGTGGTTAATTAATTTGCAATACCAAGATGTAATAAAATAAAATATATAAGAACAAATCACAGCATACAAAAGTGGTATAGCAGAATTGATTTGCCCTAATTTATCTAGATTCTGCTATACTTACACTGCCCCCCTATTCAATTATAAACACGAATCAATAATCATTTCTAAAACCTGGACCTTAAGACTTTCTCATTGAGTTTCTTCAGCCTGCATTTCTCAGTTTGTCTTATGGAGAAATGTCTGTATTTTAAGATGAGGAAATAAGATGTTACTTGGACACACAAACACTACTCAGATTTGGTTTTGAAACTTCCTTCCATAGCACAGAGAGAAAATGTTCTGACCAGCAGTGCTCCCCACAATCTTTCAGTCCTGAAAAATGAAAGTAAGCTGATGTGTAACATTGGTTCAACCTTGTAGGGTATTTGCAGAAAGACAGCACTGTACACTTTTCACTGACTTACTACATGTTTTTGATAGCTGTCTCCTAAACATTACATTTGTCTCAGAAAATAAGAAAGTGTTTCTATACAACAAGTGTTTTTGCAACTGGTGTACCTTTGGACAGCTTCATACATTTACAGCTACTGTGAAATTTTGGAAAAGTCACATATATATACACAATAACTATATATACACACACTATACGGTACATACATTTACTGCAGAAATCAGTGAATTCAGTGTACACTTGATACAGAGAGAAGTGCAAGTTAAAGCTTTCAAGTTGGACAGAAATAAAAAGAGGAGAATGTTGGTGCCTGAATATTATTTTTTTGTTTCTAAAATAAAGTTGATCACAAAAAAAAAAACAGGGCATCGAAGCAAGAGCTCTGTGTTTCACTGTCATCATTCCTGCCATAAGGCAACTTTTGCCCTTCGAGACAAACTCAGATAAACATGGCAATAAATTAGGTTTATAATGTTAATAATAATGTGTTTGCACCGAGGAGAGGAGTGTGAAAGACTTATTTTTTATTCATGCAAACGTGGCATGGCATGGAGGAGGTTAAGAAACACTATTCTAAAATAACCTGAAAGCACTGTCCAATCTCTAAAACATTTAACTTTAAATTAGAATCCTGCGGTCTGAAGATGACTAAATGGTTTTTATTTGCCTTGCAAGGCAAGACGGAAAAAAAAACAATCATTGTACTTTCATCATTTACATTTCCTAAATCCTGCTGTACAAACTTCCAAAAACAATCCTGGCAACAGAACAAATCAGATGATGTATCCTGAATATGTGAAGGCTTTCATTGTTAAGTAAACTTTTCAGCTGTAAACCTTTTCACAAATTACTTGATTCATGTGCTGGAATGGGCACACACAAGACTTAGGTAAATACAACACCTTTAGAGAAATGCACAGCACTTGCAAAAATATTACTGGAATTAATACTTCATATTGTCACCTACTTTGTATTGGTATATTACAGAAAGGTGCATTCAAATCCTTTAGGAAAGATCAACTACTATTGTGTGACCTATAACTGCTTTATAGTTCTAAAACAACAGGGATGGAGACAGTTGTTTCTTGTCCGAACACACCCATCTTAAGCTTTGTTGTTGTAAGTGAGATACATTTGCACCACAACAGTGCAGGATAGTTTCTTAAAGCACCAGCTTCATGTCTGTTGTTAGTGCTTTCGTGACCAGCTCTTAGCATTTCAATAAAATCACTACTGTCCTGAATACCAAAACAACAATTCACACTCCGTGGAGCCTGCAGCTCTTCTAGGACATCATCCCATTAAATAACTTGAAGCAAGAGTGACACATTACAGTCCTGTTCATCAAACTGTATTTGGTCCACTATTTTAGATGAATTGCCCTTCTTTAGTTTCACCAGCTGCAACAACCAAATTATAGACTTACTGCTGCCACCTGCTGTGTAGGAGAATTACTGTACTTTTTCAAAAAATTGTGTCATCTCTAAAAGACTCCTGCACAGCTTCATAAATTAACAATTACTTTATGTTCTTCGGTGTACTGTTCTACTTCACATCTACTAAATGTTGGGCAAAAATGCCCCTAATGTCCTCATACCAATTAATGCAATATAATTTTTAAAAGAATCTAATACCTTCATTAATGAGAATTACACATGTAAAGAATAACAGTGATTTATAAGAACTGTGCATTTAACCCATCTGTCCTTGATTGGCAAGTAGCTCATTGATCTAAGGATCTCATCCAGCCATTTCCTTGAAAGATGCAATGGTATCGGCTTTAAAATTGCTGCAGAGCTTGTTCCAGACTCCTGCAACTCTCTGTGTAATGAAGTGCATCTATTTCCCAGTTTTAAATTAACTTCCCCTAAGTTTCTTTTGGACAGTCAGTCTTGAAGAAGTCCAGAGAGTTAACTGACTAAATCACTTTAAACATACAACAAATTGACTTATTTTGAGGCACACATTCAGTCATTTAGTCAAACTTGCAAGTTAGAAGAAGTTCTTTACATCTCCTGTCTGAAGGATGTTCACTGGGCATAAAATTGATCCATAGTTTTACCTATCAATAGTAGTCATTAAATCTAAAATGCCAATAGATCAACTTACCTGCTCATTTATAGCACAAAGTGACCACACCCTGAATTTTAAGACCCCCCAAAAAAACTAAGATTTGTCGCTAAAGAAACTAGCTACACTAAGCAAAAACACATTATTGTTCTAGCTCCGTGTATTCTTTTTAACCCCCCATCCCCAGTTTTCTTAGGTTTAAAGGTGGTACAAAGTAATGTATATAACACATTCAATACCCAAATTAAGCGAAATGTTATCCAGTTTTAATAATGCTTTTGAAATTTCAGGTGTTGTAACTTATATGCAACCAGTCCCAGAGTTCAATCAGCTTGTTGAGAGCTCTCACAATTACAAATGTGTACCACATCCCTTTCATGAAAACTGTAGTCGTCAGTGCAGAAATGCACGAATGATTGTAACCAAAGGGACTCTTTTTATACTAGCACAAATCTGGAAAATAAGGGGAAAGGAGATTTGTTATTTAACGAATTTGTTGGAACAAACTAAGGTTTTCGGTGTACAATGAGAAAATATTCGACGTGAGTGTATAAATATTCTAAACGGTGAGTTCGCCTTGTTGAGTGAACTTTTCTAGACAAAAGCACGTAGAAACTTAACGTGGTAATACCAATAAAAAGCGTTCTTGTTTACTGTGGAAAGGCAAACGAGGTGAATTACGCATAATAATCCTTGGCCTACTGAGTGCATGCGTTCGTGCTCTTCACCGTGTGCCTGTACTGCAGTGACTGGAGGCAATGATTTGTCTTCCCAGCCATTGCCCTTTTAAGAGCCAGAGCGCTGTTGTCGGGGTTGCAGAGAGAATCCGTCAGCCCGCCATCAAACATCAGCATCGCTGAGGATTGACCGCCTCGTCTATATTTTTCAATAAAAAACATCAAAACGACTTTTTTATCGCCTCCGAACAAAAACATCCGAATAATAATAAACGTGACTGAGCAGAAATATCGTATCTTGGTGCGAGTGCGAATGACGAAGGAGTCGTTTTGAACGGAAATTAGGAGGACAAAGATGGAGAAAGTTCCTTTCTCCGAGGGCTTCAAAGACGGCAGGGCGACAACATGGCGATTCCCGAGCGACTGTACTCCGAGCTTTTCCGAGCAGTGGGGAAAAGAAGCGGAATAACTTTTCTGCATTGATTTAAAACACCCTTTTCACCTGCAAAGTTAGATTGAACACTTCATAAAACCAAAAGATACGCTCGTATTAAAACTTCACCTTTAACATTTTTGAAACGTGTTATTCGTCTTGCATGTGTTGGTTGAAGCGTGGGTTTTTTTTTGCCACCTGGGTGCTGTACTTGCTAGTCTTGTAACTGAATATTGCGAGGCTGCAGTATATTTTGCCGTGAAATCAAAGTATTTTGCTTTAAATCAAGAAAAACAACATTAATCTCGGATTAAACATTACCGGATTTGTATTTTTAATGGGTAGTAATATGGCGGGAACTGTGCACTACTTTTACATAAATCGTTAACGCTTTATGGAGGTCTTGTGTAAAGAAATGGTATTTTTCAGTAGGTTATTGTGGAAGAATGTAACCTAAATACCGTTTTTTTCTTTAAAATGTGTAACATGTAATTATTGCTGGAAAGATTTAACCTCGAAGGAAAATAAAAACGGTTTGCAACTTTGGGTTCTCGGCTTGAAACAAACGTGTATTTAGATTATTTGGTGGGGGGAGTGTGATTTAAGTATTTTTTTTCTACGATTTTGGTTCTTTTGGGGCGTTGAAAGCAAACACGTTAAACCAACCCCGGCTGCTTCTCAATTTAGGATTATAAATAACCCTGCACCGTACTTCTTTAGAGCAGACTACTTATTTCAGCGCTACACCAGCGAGGTTTATTTAAAAAACTGCTTTGTAATAAAGGGCGCCCCATTTCATGCTGTTACAAATATGGCTACCGAGCCTTCTGTAAAAATAAACCTTTAACAAAAAAAAAAAACTAATAAATCAATTTTATCTATGCATCGATAAAAAAGAAGCAGCCCTCCCGCTATACGGCCAAGTAAAAGTTACCCTTTATCACACCAGCGAGGGAGCAACACGGAGACAAGAGGCTCCGAAACGGTTAAAGGCAACGACTGCAACAATAATACTAAATACTGTACAACCAAGCCTCCGAAACTATTTGGTTATGTAGCTCTGTAAGATTTAACCACCTCGATAAAGCCTAATACGGAAACTTGAGCAGTAATTTATCAGTTATTAAATAATAATAAAAAACTAAACCCATGTGGTCACCATTACACAGGTCATCACCAGGAAAGCAGAAAAAGTAACAAACTAAGGTTTGAAAAAGCAGCTCTTACATCAGATGGGGTCCTGTTCCTCAGCTCTAAGTGGATCCTCTTTTTCATGTCCATCTTCCCCTTTAAAAGTTTTTTTTCCTCTTGGGTTTTTAAGGATTTTTGATTCAGTCCAAAACGCAGAGAGATGCCTTAATGGAGGGAGAATATGGGACTGTATAATGAAGTGAGCCAAACGCCAAGTTACTCAGGGAGAGGAGAAACCATGGAGGGAAATGGGACTGAAACACATATATACTCAATACTGCCGCCGCCGGCCAGAGACGCCCATTGCAGTTAAACAGGCAATGCAGAGTCACTGACTGACCTGTTGTCATACTCCCGAACATGACGTTGCCAAAGGCATTTCATTCATTATTGTAGTTTTCTTACCAGGGACAATTTCTCTCTTTTGAATTAAGGTAAAACGCATAGCTATGAGTGACTGTGCACTCTTACACTATGTAATTGTGTGTACAAATAAAATCATTTCAGATACGATTTGCTTTCGTGTTTAAATCGTGCTGCGTGAAATTGTATTATTACTTATTTTGTATTTCCGTTATAAGTAATAAACTGTAGCAGTGTAGGTTGTTTTATCAACAGGTTTACTATACTGTGATTTCCATTAATGATGGCGACAAGGTTTGTGTAGTGTAGCATACTAATATCACCCAAACATTAATCCAGTTGTTTAGAGATAGATGGCCTGGTACAAAATTATTATATAATTCTTAAAAAGCCTACCTTATTTTCTTAAGGCCGTTGACATGCTTTAAGTTGTTTAATAAAAATGTACAATAAACGTTGAGGGGAATAACATTTATTTTTTATAAGTACATCAAAAAATTGTATTGTCTCCATAGCAATGGCCAAAGGAACAAATGTAAAATTATTTTTTAGTAATGCAAGGATGAATTTCTGAGAGAAAGTACTTTTCAGAGGACACGGAAAGGAGAGAACAGGGAGTTGTGTTGTTAAATAACCTCAAAAATGTGGTAGACCTTGTTAAAAATTGCATTTGTTTTATTATTATTATTATTATTATTATTATTATTATTATTATTATTATTATAATCATTATCATCAAAGATAAATAATAGCCTTATTATACAAGTAATCTGGAGCTGTATTTCTGAGTGGTCTGTTAATTCCAAACTATGATCTTTACAAAAGGTGCTGTGTTGCTTTTAACCCTTTCAGAGCCTGGCTGTACTGAATAGGCCCCTTGTACAATGTGTCAGCTATTCATCATTCACAGCCATGAAGAAAAAATATGGGCTCTGTTTGTTTTACCACTTTATCCTTAAAAACGTGACAGAGAATGCGTATATACTGGCTATATACTTGGGAGCTCGGTGCTTTCACAGAAAAAATAAAGTGAACGTTTTTTTAGATTTGGGCTTTGAATACTACATTATGCCAAGCCATATTGCTACAATTTCACATTGCGCAGTTTCACACAAATAAGTATTCACATTCTGTCTCTGCAATCAGTTTGCTCATTAGAACCTTTCACTCAGCAGTGTGGAGGAACGATTAGGGTTCAGGACCTCTAATTAGAAAGCTGTGGATTCAAATCCTAGGTGTAGCATTGCTGTTGTAATCCTGAGTGAGGTGCGTCACTCAAGGTTACTCCAGAAAAATGCCCAGCTGTATAAATGGGTACTCTACAGGTTTTCACTGTAATCAAGAGCATGTTTCTTTCGTTCATTTATCTGGTTAAATAAAGGTGTGTTTTCTGCTTCTTAGTAGAATGAAGGGTCTCTGATTAAATCAATAAACTGATGAATATTCAGTACATTTAGAAGAGGTATCTTATTTTTAATTTATATTGAAACATTTGTCCAGATAAGATAATTTAGAACAAATTCTAATTTGCACGGCCTGCTTGAAGACATTGTTAAACTCTGATCTACTCCAAGCAACTCTTGGTGTCATTTATAAGTTCATCACATGCCCCTCAAAAGATAAATTGTTTTACTCTGAGGTTTGTTAGGGGTTCATTTTTTCAACTAACAGCCTATTTGTTTTTATTTTTTGGTTTGCTGCTCTACAGATTGCACTAATGTATGAGCACAGAAAATAACAGAGTGGAGCTTCTGGTAATTTAAGAGCCATGACAAATTATATGATAGAGAGGTCATTATTAAGGGAAATGCAACATGCAATGTGATTTGGAACGTTCTGCTCTCCACATATTGTCTAAACCCAAAATGTCTCTGGAAAAAAAACAAATAGAAAAAAACAGACGTCCTTTTGGAATCCCTAACAACTCGTATCATCTTTGTTGTTGTCCAATTGCGTAATATCTGTGAGGCTTTACTTATGTCATCTTCTGATATAAGGACCTGTACATTGCCCTTGTTGCCTGCAACTGTTAAATACCTGGCCCCTAGACATCATAAGAACATGATCAATTCTAGGACATGAGCATGAGCAGGTCCTTCTGGCTGGAAGAAGCTCACTTTCAGTTCAGATATGTTGCAGAAATCCTGTGTCACACAGCCAGGCTACCACTGCCCATCATATTTTTGAAATGTAGGTCCTCTTGTCTTCATATGCTGGCCTCCCTGGCCCAGCAGTGGTCCCCCAGGCAAAGTCTGGGAAACCAAACTTTTAGATACGGATTTACTTGAAGATTTCTATACTCGAATATGTGTGTGCAGCTTTTAAGAGTCAGGGATGTACTTTGCCTCCCTGAGCTGTCATTTAGCTTTATCACATTCGACTCCCCTCTCTTTCACTGTGAAATACACAAATGTTTTGACAGGTAAAATTTATTTTTCCAAAGCAAAAGAATCATTTTGATATGTTTTGCATGACCATTGCAAGGCTACTGAGGCCCTGCAGTTTTATAGATTATCCATACTGTATGTAATTCATCCTGAACCATCAAAGGTGTTTTGTTTTCCTTTGAGACCTGGCAGAGAAATGCTCTCCCCTCTGAAATAAGAAAGCCTTCTTGGCTGAATGTTATATTCACTTCACACAGAATAAGGAGCAACATTTGAAAGAGGCGCACTGTCACAACTGCTAAATGTTCTTGTATGACAGGACAAATCTCCAACATGTCAATCGAACCACAAAACGAAAACACCCTGTGGAAGAAAAAACAATAAAGCATACAATCGGTACACATTTTTCATTAAATAAAGACTATTTCTGATGTTTGGATTGTTTTTCAGATGGAAAGTGATATTATTTTGTTTTGACAGAAACATTTTGCCTCAAATCCTTCCTCCACAGGAAAAATGTAGGTACCTTATTTTTAAGAAAGTTATCAGGTTGATTTTGTATGGAATGATACCTTTGTTTAACATTCATACCATGTTCTTAACATTTTCTACATGTTCTTTACCATTTGAATCTTTATTATTTTGTTAATATGGCTGGATCACATACAGTACTCAGTTCAGTAACAGTGTATTTGTATGCTGATTTACAACATTAAACGTGTTACATATAAATCTGTGTAAAAAATAAGAAAAGATGAATTCCATGTGAAACACAGACAAGAGAAACAATGTTTCAGCTGTACAGCCTTCATCATACATGAAGAAGGTTCTACGTCAGAAAAATGGTGTTTCTCCCTTCTGTTTTGCAGTATGGAATTAACCTTTACTTGTTCCGTTACAGCCTACATATGCTGACGCACCTCTCCACTTGAACACATACACAGGTTATGTAACCTTATACTGTATATATACAGTATAGATAAAAGTTTTGCCATAGTTACAGAAAAAAAACATGTGAAGGTACAGCTGTTCAGACCATGGGTTACAGATGTTATATCTCCAAGGAATGTAGCAATAATTAGAGCAGATCCAGCTTTCGATAACACCAAGCCTTGTTTTCATTTACAGTTAAAATACCTCCAATATTATTAATTCTTATTCATGCTATAATGCTATAATCTAAATTCATACAATATGCACATTTTGTTTTCTTTTTCAGATGTTCTTATCTCAAGGGATGTATACAGATAAAATCCTAATTTAAATGTTGATTTTTGCATGTCTTCTGAATCTGGACCTCATTCTACCCTGAGACAAAATTAGTGACTGGCTGAGAGGTGTTACTAATATCATTGTGTAATTTTACAAGATACGAAAACCATAACGATGACATAAAAGTGGAGCACAGGAATTTCCACCAGGGTTTCAGATTGAGAAATTAATTAGCTGATTGATGGAACTCCTGCTGTCTTAGGCTTCTCACAATCAGATCTTCACAATTGTGAATGCTAATGCTTTTCTCTAGATTAAAATGCCATATAGGGTCAAATAATTCTTTTACCAGCCCACAAAGAGAACAGCTCCAACAGTTACTCTGGTTCAACCTGAGAAACCTTTATCACCGGGCCTCAGGTAGCATTGTGCAGGGAATCTGGAAATGTCCATTTCAAGCACTTCCAGGAAAGCAGAGCTCAGACTCTCAACCATTTTTCAACCATTCAACCAGTCACAGCTTTTCAACACAATACTTTTGGCTGCTTTCCATCAGTTAGAGTCTCTGGCAACCAGGAAGGTGCCGTGAAATGACACCTTTGGAGCTTGTGGATGGCAGATGGGTTGAACACTTCTTTCGTTCCATAAGTATGCTTATTATTCGTAAGGAAATCTCCACAGTTAATTGGGGACTCCCAACGTGTAGCTTCTTTTGTGCAGCTAGCAAATGTTCTTTAGATAGCCCTTAAACAGTCTCTTCTGGGATGAGATTTTCACTTCTTTTAACGAAGAAGTACCTAAAATAGAATGAAAATGGCACAGACTCATTTCTAAAGGAAAAAAATGTATTCCAAAAGTAAGCCTCATGAACTAATGGTTTACTTCATCTACACAGTATTTTTGCTATTTTATATAAACCCAGAAAATGTAGTACAATCCATCCATCCATTTTCTAACCGCTTTATCCAATACAGGGTTGTAAGTGTAGCAGAGCCAGTGTGGTGATGTCAGCGCCCTCACTGCGCGTATCAGGGTCCTCAGCTGCCTGGGCTGAGGGAGGTCTTCTTTAGCTCACGCGGATGGTGCCCTGTTGCGTTATGCCGGAGACCCGGGTTCGTGCCCCGGGTGGAGGGAGGCACGACCCCAGTGCAGAACCGTGACTATCACATAAGGGAGCCAGAGCCTATCCCTGCAAGGATTGGACGCAATGCCGGATACACCATGGATGGGATGCTAGCCCATCACAGGACACAAACACACACTCACACCAGGGCCAGCAATTTAAACTACCAGTAGGTCTATGGACTGTGGGAGGAAACCCGAGCAACCAGAGGAAACCCAAACAAATCCGGAGAGAACATACAAACTCCACACAGACAGCACACCTGGTCCGGAAAGGAACCCAGGACCCATCGCTGTGAGGCAGCAAGGCTACAGTACCGGTCCATGTAGTGTAATGATATTAAAA